TACTTAAAGAGGTGATAAGAGCATCCTTGTTAAGTAGGCCCCAGCGTCGAAGGCTCGATCTATTGGTGGGGAGCTACACCTGCTGGAAATCGGGTCCAGCGTCCCTATACAAGGATGTGTACAATCATCAATTGGGTAACAAAAGGGCCTCTTCACCCTTTAATTAGGGCGCCAGGAATTGCTCGACTTTTCTAGCATCTTCCCTCACCATATATGCCTGTATAACTTAGCTGCAATCTGCTTGAGCCTTCCTGGTCTGAATTACACTGAAAAACCAAAATTTATCAGATTTTATAATCCAATTCCCTTCCCGACCATACCATTGAAGATCAACCAGAGAAAGCTCAGAGGGTGGGAAAGGATCTGCAAACAACATTGGGGATCTAAGGGAGGATCCTGGTTGAATCGAGAGCCAATCCCGAAAGCAGAGGTGATAATTCCTCTTGGGAGGGAATCCTGTCTCTTCCTGGCCTGGCCACTCAATTTTCCCCAACCCCTCCCCTGCAATCCTCCCCAACCAGTTTCCTTGAAAATTTTGAATTATTTTCAAAAAATCTTTTTTTTGATGAAGGCTTGATAACTTAGTTTTAACTTTTTTTTTTTTTCTTTTTTTTTTTTAAAGAGAACACTTTCATTATACCAAAACCAAAAAGGAGGCCGGGAATCCCTCCACAAACAACCCCTTAGTTTTAACTTTAGACCAAGACAACTAAAGACCCAGTGGTTTTTAGTTTTAACTTTAGACCACTGGGATCTTATTTCTGTCTGGACAAATTGGACAATTAGATCTGAAATTTCCCCACCTTCTAAAGATACATTCTCATTGACCTGAACACACCTTTTATACCAGATGGTCCACACCATAGCCTTTCGACCAATAGTAAAAAAGTTGCTTTGGAATTCTCTTAGGTCTATTGACTCTATTCCCATGGGAGTCCAGTGCCTAAACAATGTTACCCTCCATACCCACGGCCAGTCCAGTCATGTCAATGCTTTCCAGATTCAATCCGAACGTCTCCATAATAAAACTGTACCTGGGCATTGTAAAAAAATGTGTTCGATAGTTTCACATATCTTTTTGTGTAGAAAAGAAGAAAGGCAGGATTGTACCATGGGGTTGCTAAGCCTTTCTGTTCAAGATTAGAGTGATCTATCAACCAATTGTTTGTCGGTAGACATCTATGCAATATCTGCCATTGTAAAGAGGCAAATTTGGCAGGACGTTGCTTGAGATTAGCAACGAGTTTTTTATTCTTTAAAAAATTAATGTCTACGTTTAAATGTCTAACCCATCTATCCAGTATTATTGTTTCAACATCAACCCTTGGTTTCAACAATCTATATGTAGCTTTTACCGATAGGGACTGCCGTGTTCTTGGTTTACCTCTCTTGGTAGATTGCCAGACCCATTCTTGTGGGTCAAAAGGGAGATCTGAAATGGGACATTGTGGTTGATAAACCCTCCATCCTTTGAGAGAGGAAACGAAAAGGACCCGAATCCTATACAGTCCCCCAAGTGGAAAAAAGTTTACGAGATCTGTAGGATTAGGTCTGATCATATGGTCCTTGGATACCTTGAAGATGGGGACCAAAGCTTCTTCTGGGTGCAACTGAATAATGTGGCCCACCTTCCTTTGGCCCTCGGCATTAACCCCACTGAGCTTCCTTGAAGTGTATGCCCCTCTTTAATAACCTAATCCAGTCAAGAGGGATAGAGAAGATGATTTGATCTTTATTACGAGATAGATGGTGTGCATAACGTAGCTCCTTTCTTAGTTGTTCGTCCGTCACACAATCTTTTTTCCTTTGGTCCCATATATCCTTGACTCACAGCACCCCTCACTTGACCGAGAGGGACCATGGAGAGTTCGAACTGTTGAAGATACAACCATTCAGATCTGTGATCCATCTATTACCAAACAGCGGTTGTCTAAGTAATTCCTCATAACGGGAGGGAAAAGGCCTATTCGGTAAAGGAAGACGGCGCCATACCTTGATTAAATATACCCAAAAATTGTCCAAAATTAGATCATTCCTGACTTTACCCCTCATCCCTTGTTCCCTGGAAATGACCCTGCTTCTTGGAATGCTCCAGAACCTAACTTCAATCCAGGTGAGGGGACGTGTATCATCGGTAGTTATTGGAGCCAACCTGCGCATTTGTTCTAATGCCAAAGGCTGCCAAGGTTGATCAATTGAGAAGATAAGATTCATTATCCATTTGAGGGAGAGGGCTTGGCATTGGAGGGTTGGGTCCAACAACCCCAACCCACCTCTAGCCTTTGATTGTACTAAAGTGAGCCATGCCACTCTAGGAATTACTTTTTCTTGTTCATGATTACCCCGCCATAAGTACGATGTAACTTGCTTTTGAAGTGTCCTCATTCTTGTCTTACTCAAAGTCCAGGCAGCAGATTTATACCAAATAGATGCAAGGATGACATTATTAATAACTAGGGCCCTGCCAAAGATTGAAGTATGTCGGTTTTTCCATTGCTTCATATTTTCCAAGGCTGGTCTTGAGAGCCAGTCGTCGTTTGTTATGGGTTTTCCTTGAGCAGATGAATCCATAGAAAAGGCAGGAATTACCCTAGCAGTACTCGAGGACCCCTTCACAGCACCAGTACATGCCAGCTATCGGATGCGGGCCCCTCTTGGAGGCCGCCTGTCGCTGATTCATTTTATCTTTTTTTTTTTTTCACAAACGACGTGCTGGGAACCGGGCCCAGCGTCCCTTTCAAGAGCATATTGAGAAATTTATGCAGAAAACTTTAAGGTACAGGACCATTATCTGGCTTCGGCTAAGAATGTTAGCTATGCGATCTACACAAGAACTTTTTTTTTTTTTTTTTTTTTTTTTTTTTTTCAAAGATGCGGAGGCCATTACCCGGCTTTGGCTAAGATCAGTCTGCACAAGAACATTGAATTTCTCTAACCCCAAACCATTGATCCAAGGAGCATTCGGACTGAAAACCACCTGCCTTAGAGCTTTTCAGCAGCCCAACCCTACCTGCCTCACCCGTATAGCTCGATACCCAATCTCTACCAGGCCTCACGCTCCCAACTGCTAGGGTACAGGGTGGCACGACCCACCCTGGAAGACCCCCACCTGCTAGCCTACAGGGCAAAACAACCCGCCCCGTCTCCAACCAGCGTTCATTTTATCTATGGCGCTCGGCCTCCTAAATTTTCGGAGAGGCTCAAAACAGGTTCTCCAGTTGCCTGGGGCCATGTACTGGTGGAAAAAAAAAGGAGAAAGGGCCACTTGCTCTCCGTTTGACATCAGCGGGGCAGTACAAGAAACGGACAGAGGGCCAGGAAAAGGGCCTCTTGCCATCCCTTTCACATCAGCAGGGCTGGGCAAGAAAGAGGGGGTGAAGGAAAGATGTAACAGAATGCTCCGATGAATGAGTCTGGCTACTACCCTGTCCAGATATAAAGAAAAACAAGAACTAAGAGGAAGAGAATGAGAGGTCCGGCCCCTTCCTCTTCCTTCTTATCATAGAGGCTCTTTCGGCAAACCCATGGCTAAAACCACCAGTACTTGGCCCAGATCATGACTTATACCGTAAGGATGCTAAGATGGCATTATTGATTACTAGGGCCCGCCTGAAGAGGGAGGTGTGATTTTGATTCCAGCTAGCGAGCTTCGCCAGTGCGGGGGCCAGCATCCACTTGTTGTTGGTGGCCAGCTTGGCTTGGCCCGTCATCGAGACGCCGCCCAGGACCCAGATTGGGGCTTCCCGACGGAGCCAGGTGATGCGTGGGGCTTCTGGGAGGCGTCCTCCCTACTGGTGGAGCCACCACCCTATGGCCTTGTGGCCCCAATTGACTGCCATGTCCAAAAGAGTGCAAAATTGGTTGATCAGGCCTTTTAAAACTTCCCCAATGTTCCGAGAGCTAGCCTCCACCATTATGGTAAGATTGTCTCCGAGCACACCGGAACAGCCTCCTCTGGAACCTGGGAAATCTCTCTCTCTCTCTCTCTCTCTCTCTCTCTCTCTCTCTCTCTCTCTCTCTCTCTCTCTCTCNTCCCCCCCACCAATGGAGAGTCTGACCATGCTGGGCCTCCCCAGCCGACAACCAGGTAAGTATCCACCCGTCCCACAGCCCTCCCTACATCCCAAGGACCTCCTAACCTCGCCACCCTTCTCCCTCTTGCGGAGCACCTTCCAAGTACGGCGCCCTGTCTTCTTCGCAGTGCGCCGCTCTCCCGGTTTCTCCAAGCGGAGGCCACTATCCTGCTTGTGTGCAGGTTGCCAGTGCCTCCTGCTCGAATATGTGCCTGGTGCCAGGTAGTCCAGTCCGTTCGGAACCTGACCTTGGGGCCTACTGGGTTGTGCTACCTGGGCACATGGCCTAGGGCCCTCATGCTCACATAATATTATAAACTAGCTTCTTCTCAATTTTGGATCTGCACATCTGGGTGGAAAAGGGGTTCTTGCGGTGATAGCCTACAACATATATGATAAACGTAATATGTATATATATATATAGTATATGCTATATACATATAATAATATAGAGAGAGAGGTGGGTGTGTACCATTGTCTGATCTAGCCTCTAGGGGTAAAGAATTAGTCACTAAATCTCTTGCACGTTTGTGCTCTTGCAGGATCATGCCCTTTGGTGTAGCTGTGTGGTAGTTTTTTGGGGTTTGTACCCTTTCTTTCAGAACAACGAGGAGGGGAAGTCAGAGTGCAAAACCGAAGCGCTGCAGGTGCAACCACCATCAGTTGACCAATCTGTGATGAGACTGGCAGAATATTTACTCAAGGGTGTCGATTGTCAGGTACGTTCAATCAACGAGGCGTCATTGTCATCGTCTGAGTGAGAGCCACTAAAAATGGAAGCCTCCAAGGTGCGAAAGGGCAGTCACTACGGAGATCGGCACTCGAATTCCCTCCTTGCCACCTGTCTCCTGTTCCTGCTATCGTTCGAATATGGCCCAGCTCCACCCTGGAAAGCTGAGGCACGGTGTTGCATGCGGCATCATGCAGATGAGGCACCCAACGAGGCATGGGGCTCACAAAATGTCATGGCCATGGGGAATGCTAGAGAGCAGAGTGATTTGCACACTTCGCTAGGCACTGGTGTTTCTTGGCGACATTTTCATGGAAGAGAAATGAAAGCTACGAGCTCACCTGGGCGCTTAACTCTTGCAGGGAGTCGTACAAAACGTCCCAATCCACTCGACAATTTCAAGGACTACACTGAGGGTTGGGATTTGAATAAGAAGGATTACATCGCATCTGCACTGTTCACTGGTGCTCCAGGGTATGGCATGTCTGCAGTTTGGATCCTGTGGACAGTCCTCAAGCTACTGTATAAGTGTGTGCAGTGCTGCCGTCGACGAGACAGTGAGGTTGTGAATGAGCCCAAACCTACTCAGCTAACAATTTTGACATGCGTGGTACTCGTATGCATTCTGATAACAATCGTCGCGTGCGCATTAACGTATAGCGGGCAAAAGAAGTTCAAGGAAGAATTCTGGGCTAGCGTGGATGTCGCAGTGAATAAGACAGAAGAGGTTCTTGGGTTAGTAAAAAATGTGGGGCAACTACTGGGGGAGGCTGAGAAGATACCTGTGATAAGCGAGAAATTGGGCCCGGACCTTCTCGGATCACAGCAGAAGTTGGAGGAGAAGTCTGAAAATGTACGGAAGGAGGTGACGAATACCAAAACCGAGGGCCACAACTGGGAGAGGATAATTATGATAGTGGTGCTTGCAGTTATAAGCTTTATGCTGGTGGTATTTGCGTTGATGATCACCTTCCTTGTTGCACGATTGGAAACACTTGTGTCTATTTCCTCCTTCTTCGGGTCGTTGAGTACGATTATCGGCTTCCTTATGTTCGGCATATGCTTGGCAGTTTATAACACAACAGGGGACACTTGTCTTGCAATGAAGGAGTACTCGGAGCAGCCTCAGGCAGACTCCGCTTTCAAGGACCTCATCCCCTGCATACCGAAGGCGGAAGCAGAGGCGACGATGACAAACCTAAGGCAAGTTATTTACACATCTGTAATTGACATCAATGGACGGCTCGTACACGGCAAAGTGAACGACCCATCGGGGAAGCAACTTGTCATCTGCAATCCCGTTGGGCCGCCGCCTGAGTACAACCGTAAGACGGATTGTGATGAAGGAGAAGTAGGCACAGACAACATCAGTGTGTCAGGGGAATGTGTCACAGGCATTGCCTTCAACAAAACTATCTGTGACAGTGATCTGGCAAACATAGCTTCCCTGGTGCTTCGCATCGATGACCTCTACCCACAGCTGGAATTGGTGAGTCAATGTGCCTTTGTTGCCGATGTAGCCAAGACGATCGTGGAGAAACATTGCCCGGCCTTGAAGACGTCTTCAAAGATGGAATGGTTAGGGTTTCTGCTCTTCTCCCTTGCTGAGATGATAGTCTCATCTCTGGTAAACAGGGTAATGTACCTATTAAAGGCAAGGCTTGGTAGCAAGGCAAGGCGACACAACTATTGACAAGACTGATCGACCGCAGTAAAAATACCTTATGTATTACCAGACTAAAGTAATTATAATGCTTCAACAGCGTACTTGCACTAAGGCTTTCTAGGGAGTACCCGATGATAAGCACATTTGGCTTAGAAAACCCCCACTGTGAGTACACGACCTAGTAGCTGTGGCGTACTCACTCTTGGACCTTCCCCTGGATGTATCCAACCGTGATTATGACCTGCTGCGGATGACGTATCTCACCACGATTTCATCCAGGGATCAGTTGAAAAACTCACCGTGCCAGTATGTATGGCCTTGTTGGTTTCTTATGGTTTCATATTAGTACTCTTATCGATGTCTTAAACCACCAGTACATGGCCATGCATTGGCCGGGGACCCCTCGCCGCGACTTTTGGAGGCCAGAAACGGGACTGACGCCATTGATGATTTTTTTTTTTTTTTTTTTTTTTTTTTTTTTTTTTT